ACACACACACACACACACACACACACACACACACACACACACACACGTGTGTGCGTATATATTTATATATGGCCCAGTTATAGTTTAGCGTTAGCCATTAATACTGGCCCAAGAATTATTGCTCTCACTGTGGTGCACGTTGTGATATCTCACGTGTAGCGTGATCGTTGTTTTCGTACGTAGGTGCACCCAACTTGTGTTTCCTGTATGACGTATATATTTATATATGGCCCAGTTATAGTTTAGCGTTAGCCATTAATACTGGCCCAAGAATTATTGCTCTCACTGTGGTGCACGTTGTGATATCTCACGTGTAGCGTGATCGTTGTTTTCGTACGTAGGTGCACCCAACTTGTGTTTCCTGTATGCGCATGGGGACAGGTGACTTTAAAAAAAAATGTATTTTTAATTTTTACTTCATTGTTATCACGTGGGTGAGCTCTCAAGCCCCATATGTGATAGCACATTGGACAGGTTCACGGGGAACGCAAGAGGTACAGAGCTGATGAAACACTGGCTCCCAGGGCATAGGAGACAACTAGGTGATCCAACCAACTAATCAATATTGAGAATAGTTGACAACTATTCTCGTTATAGATTAGTTGCAGCCCTAGTTTTACAGCTGGTGGAGTGTTACACGTGCTGCTCTGTGCTGTCTTTTCTGCCATTTTGTGTTGAAAAGCATCTTCCTGCTGCTGATTGCAAATGACACATGGAATTTTCCACCTACAGTGACCTGGTCACCTTCAGCCATATTACCCTACCTCTGCTACCTAGCAGCCAGGTTTGTGCGTAAGTTCTAATCTTGTTTCTGGAGTTAAATTGGGTTCTGCCTTGTGGTGCAACATGCCTGATTGTAGATACACAGGGGACAGGCCCACTGTACCGGTTGGCTCCAGCACGTGCTCAACTAACTTTTTCAGTGCTGTCTGCAATGTACCTCCTAAAGTACCTGACTTTAGTGTCCAGTACTTTAGGAGGTACATTGCAGACAGCACTGAAAAAGTTACTTGAGCACGTGCTGGAGCCGACCGGTACGGCGGACCCTATGTGTCTGCAATCCTGTCCCCTATGAGGTCTGGAATTTTGCCCTCTATACTCTGCCAGTGGTCACTAAATGGCCCCTGGCATAGAGTATAATAGTGTTAATGTGTTTCACTCATTAACTTCATTAAACACATTTTAACCCTTTAAAGCCAATAAATTCTAACCCAAGTAAAAGCAATTTAAACCACAAGAAGCATTTTTTAAATATAATTTATTTTTTAGCTTATGCTATGTGAATGGCAACGTAACAAATAAAAAAAAGGTGTTATACCAATTTGGGGTGCAAAAGTGGAATCACACTTTAAACTTTAAATGTATGCACATCTACCACAACCTTGGTTTGTGACTCTAGCCTATTTTCCGCATCCGTGTGATTCCCATACCTGCCGTTGTATGCAGAGAGCCCCTTGCTGCCATGATCTGCTTATCCAAGGACCTTTAGGGCATCACCATAAGTGAAAAGATTTTATTTTTTTCTTTCACCTCAGACGATACTTTTGCAATTGCCAGCCTAATTTCCTTCCTGCCGAAATGAATTCAACTTGTAAACCGATTTCTCACTCTGGGGTTGAAATTGAAATCAGTCCACTAAATCTGTGGTAATCCCATTCTACCAAACACTTAATATTCTGCCTTAGCCTGCAGGTGTCACATGTCGGCTCTATAGATCAAGAGCTGAACGATCACGAACCACTGATCGCTCCGCTCATTATCAGTCACCGCTCCCCACAAGGATTACCCCTTTTCCCTCTTTGTTCCGCCAACAATCTTTGGAGAGACCGATAGGGGAGGTGGCGAGCACAGCCAACTCTAGCGCTAAAGAGGCAGCTGTCAGACAGCCAGAAGGATACCAACAATATTGTTGGCATCCCCCCCCCCACCCGCAGTGTGGCTCTGCGCTGTCAGCAAAAAGAGGACTAAAACAAAAAAAAAAGGTTTGGCTTTAGTTCTTTTTAATGCATTCTTGAAATATTGAGTGCAGTGGGGTACCCTTGTCTTATGAGTTTCCAAGCCAATCTAGTAGTATAAAGATTTCAAGGGCTTCATTGTCTCATTCCAACGCTAATCTATTGGGGATCCTGGAGAGTTGTAGTAAGTGACAGTTTTAGTGTTGCTGATGTGATTATATATAATTCAACAGTATTTTTTTATTGATTTCATTTATTTAGATTTTAAAGAATTACCTTTTTATCACATTTTGATTCCTTGACACTTTTGCTTTTTCTGCAGAGCATTTTATAAGAGACAGAAAAACTAATCTGTTGGTCCTGTTACACTTTTTTCAGTAATTCTTGGCAAAAGTTTACCACCCAGTCCCCCAAATCCATTGCTAGTCCAGTGGAAAGGCTCTACAACTTTTCTTTTTCCCCAAAAGCAGTCTGAGGGTGTTTTTTGAATTTTTGTTAATTTCAAAATTCTTTATTTTTCAAAATAGTTACAACTCAGTACCAAAAAAGGTAACAGATCCTAACTGTAATACAATATAGTAACCCCATAGACCACAGGATTGAGGTCTAAAGGTGAAAATTGTGGAATGAGACTACCCATAAGAAACCCCACATAACTCGCTGGCTTTATGGACATACAAACTTTAGCACTCTGAGTATATGACTCCTGTGTCTGTTTTGTATATTTGATGGATATGGTACTGGTGAAAATACCCATAAATTGCTAGTCTTTAAAAACAATCAATTTAAATTTATTTTTGTTGTAACAAACTACAACGGTTTGACTTTTGTTGATATTGGTATAGGTCATTGGTCCCCATACTATGACCTGCATGCTGAATGCGGCCTTTTGCTTCCCTATATCCAGTCCTTGGGGTATTATTCCTCTTGCTGATGCAAATGACTGAACAGTATTCTTCCCACTGCCACCAAGCATGGTACACTATTCCTCCTATTGACACCAATGATGGAATACTGTTTCTCCCACTGACCAATGATGTGTCACTAGTCCTCCAATTTCGGTTTAGTGGCTGTTTTTAGCTCTGGTACACCTTTCAGGCATGGAGACACAGAAATGTGAAGTTCCAAGGTTATAAGTGTACCAATGACGGGGCACTAGTCCTTCTATTAACACTAATTGGGCATTGTTGGGGGGGTGCTTAGTTACGCTAATGCCTGTGAAGAGGGGTGGTCTAATATTCCACTAATGCAGGGGCATTTTTACCTCTGATGCCGAGTCATTTATTTTTACGTTTACTGATGCAGGGGCATTTTTTTTTTTATTTCTGTGGCTGGCATGGTATTACTCCCAATGACCAACGATCCTGAGGAATTTTTACTCTTAACCATGAACCTAGAGGTGTGTTTTACTCCCACTGATGCAGAGCATTTTTTTTTATTATTCCTATTGACTATAGTCCAGCCCCCAAACAGTGTGATGGACAGTGAACTGGTGTTTATTTAAAATGTTTGTGGACCCCTGGTATAGGTGAATACTGCCAATACTGTCCACTAATTACACATTTTACTGCTGTAGGAATCCAGTATTCATAACATCCCAGAATACAGACATTAACAAATTAACCTCTCAAGCTGAAATATTGCTCAGATCTGAGGTCAAATACAAGGTCATTGCTGCTGTACATTGTTGAAAGCATTTGTGTGTCATATAACTTTTTAGATTGCAGCACTAGGTTAATTTTGCCTTTTTCTTCCAGCGTTTGGTTTGCAGAATTTAGATGAAGGCACTAAATGTAGAATTTGTATGCTACTTTTAGAATCAATATTTTGCTCCTAGATCTATTTAAAAGTTTTTTTAATGTTTTTGATCAAAAAATGAGCAGTGTCAGTACAAGCTGAACTGAGCTCTGAAATGGCAAACCTGTACTTTTTACAAAAAAAAAAGGTTGCGATTGCTGACAGGCTTGTTACCTGTCTGTGGCTTCAGAATTTTGAGGCATTAACCTGGAGAATGTATATTGATCAGTAATGTCAGAATTTCTGATCATGCATACCTGCTCCGAACTTGACTCCGACGGTTCTGAAGTCAATTGATCATTAGGATAGCCAGAGAGCTAGTGTTTTCCGAATGCAAAGAAAGTTATGCCAGTCCCTGTACTGACTACAGGTTTTCCTTTTTAAAATATTATTTTTTCTTTGACCTTTCTATACATTTCTTTTCTCTTTGGGCAGAGTTACTCTGTGGGCTTGTACCTGGTAAGGCAAAGAACCTCATCTGAACTTCTACAGAGGCTGAAAACCATTGGGGTGAAGCATCCAGAACTGTGCAAGACCCTGGGTGAGATTATGGTGGGAAGAGGGTGTTGTGCATGAGCTAACATACACTTCATCAGTAACCAAATTCTTGATAGTATCCATCACTGCCATAATTTCTTCTCCAATTTTTCTGGTTTGATGCACTTCAGTTTTAGAAACCTGTTTTTACATGAAATGGTTATGAAGGCTTACTTTATTGTGCTGGAAAAAGACGAGCAGCTCTTCAGTAGTTTTATATCTGCTTATTTCAAAAAGCTGATTGACAGGGCTATGAAAAGCAGAAGCACAGCTGAACAGAAGCAGTATAGATGGAGGAAATGCACATAGAGTTTTTGCTTTGTGTGTGAAAGTGGAAAAATAAAGTTTTTGTACTTTATTTCCTTGGGAGTTCATTGAGGGACACTGAAAATCTTATACATTCGGGTTATCCTGGCATCTACAGGAGAGTTGGACACTGGCCTACAAAATGGTTAGCCAGCCCCTCCTATCAGCATGCCTCAGTTTTGTAACAAAGCTGTGCCAATAAAGTCATCTTAAGGGGAGGGACCTGTGTCCTTAAATGGACCCCAAGAATAGGATGTTATGGTAAGTACAAAAAAAAATGTTTTTCTGCTTTTAAGCATTGAGGGGCACAGTGTTAAACCTTCAGTGTCCAGCGCAGTCCAACAGAGAACTGGTAGAAAACCCACTGCACAAAGGTCTTCATCAAATTGAGAAACTACCAGTCACTGAAACAAAATAATTTATTTTGTTCCTTGACCTTTGATGGGTGCTGTTTGCCAAATATTGCTCCAGAACTCACTGCAGGAAGCAGAGGTTTTGTCCCACAGGAAAACTCTTGTGGTAAGTCCCTAGACTCTCACCAAGTGACGTATGCCTTCTACATCAGAAGTTAGACCTTGGAGGAAATTAATTTCTTAGCCTTGAGCATTGTAGAAATCACATCCATGCTGTTAAAGCCAGCGATTGAGAAGCAGGATGGTAAACTGTGCCTCGGAACAGTCGACCCAGACCATCTGCCAGGGCCCTTGGTGCATCTGCTAAGTTTTGCCAGTTAAGCGTACTGCTTCCGCTTGGGCCAAACCAGAGCAATGACCATCACTGGAATGTCCACAATTGCGATCCTGTGGATGAGATGAAGAAGTTTTGAGAGCGGAAAGGCATAGATCAGGGTTTACTGAGCCACCAGAGCACCCATTGCTTCTGCCAGAGAATCACTGCACCTGGGTACAAACCTTTCTAGTTTTGTGTAATCTAGAAGTTTGAAGGTCTTCCTCCAGTGTCCCACCACCTGTTACACATGTCCTGGAAGCCTCCGAGTTTAGGAACCACATTTCTCAGGTCCAGGTGTGCTGAAGTCTGTCTGCCAATTGTCTTTGAATGTACATGGCTGCCAAAGTTGGAAAGTGCTGCAGAATCTGCTCTACCTCTTGCCGCAGCGAGACTTCTGCTTCTTCCCTCCATGGTTGCTGTTACACCACTACTGTGACATTGTCTGATTGAATCTGGATCGGATGGCCTTCCAACACTTTGGTCCAATGCAGGAAGGATGGCCAAATTGCCCAAAGCTCCAGGATGTGTATGTGGAGACCCTTGCAATCAGAGAAAAAAGATTTTTTTGCGGCTCCAGAGCCGGGTTTCTGAGCCACCATGTTAGGGATAGCTTCATTCCTGGTGTTTTTACTGAATTGGCCTGTCCAGACATAGACAAATTTGTCCCACGAATACAAAATATTGCTTTGTAAATGTCTGGATAACAAAAGAACTGCTTTAGATGGGCTACCATCAGTTCCAAGACTCTTCTGCTTCTGGACAGAACAGTTTGAAACAGAGATCAGAGAGTCTAAATCTTTTCCTGAGAAAGGAACACTCTGGTTTGAGAGATGTCCATAACCAGACCATAAACCATACTGATGCACTGGACCTTGGTGTGAGGGTGACTACTTCTGCATAACTAAAACCCAGGTACGCCAAGCTGTTTTAGCAACTATTTCTTAAGGTTTGCAATGCACCTAAACCTTTGTATGCTCTGGACAGTCAGATACGTTCAAGTGCAGGGCAGGACCCTCCAGTTAGAACAGAGAAATGTTAAAGGGCTTCCAACTGCTTAATGGTTGCATCCTTCAGGCAGGTGCATGAGTTGACCTTTTTAAGGTGATATTCGTCCAGATCCTCAGTGGGTAGTTCAGAGTGGTGCGCATGGCATCAATAAGAGCTGAAATCTCATTTAGTATGCGAGTAGACTGTGGCTCCTCAGGTCAAACAGTTGAATGACTCGGAATATGTCAGTCTCAGTGGCCAATGGCTCCGAGGTGGCTAAGGTCGTGGGCAGGTCAGATACAGTATCTTCTGTAATGTGCGTAGGAGAGAGCTTTGTGCCTTCTGGACACTAGCAACAGAGGACATGATTATAGGCTACAGAAATCGGCGCCATCTGTAGGCACACTGCAAAGTAGGACTGCAACTAGTCATGTTCCAGCTGCAGTGGGGTTAGGCGATGTTCAGGGTGAGGGGCAAGTACTTAAACCGAGACAGCTGGTAGCAGGTGAGTGTCAGTGACCAGGGGGTTGGATAGTGGGAGGTGACCAAAATCACTGTATGCAGGCAATGGGAATTAATCAGTTTTACAAGGCTCTTTGCAAGCAGCAGAGAGATGCTTTGTCCACACTGTATGGCGGGAAGGAGCACATGGTGCGCACCACGCTCCATCCAGCGGATGACAACAGCACTCTGGTCCACAGCATTTAAAACCCTTCTGCGACAAAGCTGGTGGGAATGATGACACCCAGTGACCAATAAAAATGAGGAAGACCCAGGTGCTTGGCCTAAAAATACTACCCACCGAGTCTTGAGAGACGGGCCAAGTGCAGAGGCAATGCCAGGGACTCTAGACCTAAAAAAAAAGTACTCTGTTGCTAACTTAACCAGAATGGAGCTGGGCAGGTGCCCCACTTGGAAACCTAATGCCTAAAGATCACTTCGTCTAGCCCTGCAGTGTCCCTATCCAGCAGAGTTTAGATGTGGTACTGTCAAAAAAGAAAATGTGAGGACAATGCTGCTGTAAGCTGTTGCTAGCAAAATCACAGGATAGACTTTAAAAAAAAAAAAAAAATGAGCTGAAGAAAAGACATTCATCCTCTTAGATAAAAAAAAAGTTAAGATAGTAGGAGGGGTTATACTGTGGGCAGGCGTAAAGCTTTTTTTTTTGGGGCAGTGTCCAATTCTACTGTAGGTGACAGTGTGACCCAAAGGTTTCAGGTTTACTGTGTCCCTCAATGGAGAAAGAAACTTGTTTCTTCCAAATGTAGTAATTTTTTTTAGTGTTTTTCAAAGTGTTTTTATTTTCATGGTTGACCTATGCAATTGTAACTGCTTATTCTAACAATCTTTTTATTTGATGCAGTGAGAGAAAAACTGTGTTTGGATCCTGACAGTGAAATTGCCACTACGGGAGTCAGAGTGTCTCTTATTTGCCCGGTAAAGTTTAGATAAGTAGCTGCATTAAATGCGTAAAAATAGCTACATTGATGTTATGTTATGTTTGCTTGCATTTTTAATGTCAAATTTAATTTGTGGTGCCAAGTATTGGATATGCAGTGTAAGAAATTTATTAGACCTATGCCAATGTCTTGTCTAGATAACCATATACTTTTGTATACTGTAGAAACTAGTAAAATCTATGTAAAAATAGCAATCTCACTGGAAAATGACTGGTTTATTCGGTTTTCAGCCTAATGTATTAACTTTATTGCCCCTATGTATTCTCCCATTTGCCCAATTTATAACACTCAGGTGACCTCCAAATTAATAAAAATTTTAAGGGAAAACTAGAACGTACATTTAACTGTCTAAATTTGAGCTTTTGTGCTCTGTAAACCTTTTTGTTCAGCAGACGGGTGTAGAAATTTAAAAAAAAACCCTATTTGTCTAGGGGCTAAAGCGGGGGCCGAAATCTACTTGTCCTTAATGACAATCTACTTGTCCCTATACAAAAAAATAGTTTAAATCAAAACTAGGGATGCACCAATGCTGGTTTTTTGGTGTCAAGTACCGATATTTTGCTTTCGTTACTTGCTGATACTGAATACCAATACCGGTGCTTCCGCTGGCATGGAGCAGGCTTCCCAGGTAATCAGGAAGCCGGGCAGTGGGTAATGCAGCCGGCTTCCCAGCCAATCAGCATCGAGCTGGCTTCCTGGCCAATCATGAAGCCGGGCGGCGAGTAATGACCTGATTGGCCGGGGAGCCTTCTTTCCAGCCAATCGACAAGGAGCCGGCCAATCGGGAAACCAGGAGGCGAGTCATTACTTGCCACACGGCTTCCTGAATGCCCGGGAAGCCAGCTCCATGTTCCCCTACGACACTGCCAGTCAAAGAAAATTTTCCTCTGGCTGTAAGTTCCATTATCGGGGAGGGTATTGGAGAATTTGGGTGAGTACAAGTACTCGCACAAATACTCTGTATCGGCACTGATACTAGTATCGGTGCATCCCTAATCAAAACGTATTTCACTGTGCTAAATATCGCTTCTCATTGGTCACCTGACCACGCTGACCAATGAGTGCTTGTAATTTGCGAGCGAAATTCAATATGCACAGGGCAGCACTGCGCTGGACAGCAGTACGGGGGAAAAGATAGTACACCTGTACTGACAGAGGCGATGGACTGTTCGCCGAAAGGTAAGTATAAGGGTGGGGGGCGTTGGAAGTTGGGACAGACGGGGCCAGATTTCATCGGGTAATTCAATTTTCACATATTACCTAGGAAAGTGAACTTACCCTTTAATGCACATTGTCCTTGTGTGTAAGAGTTATGCTACCTGGCAACCACAATGGAATGGCGGCACGTGCGTTTATTTGCATGCAGATGGCGGGGGCAGCAAAGCTGGTTTTATTAATTTTTTTTAAAAGATATTTTATTGTTACTTTTTTTTTTTTTCCTACTTTAATTTTATTCCTATCACATAGGGGCTTACAGGCCCCTGTGTGCGTATTTGGAGGTGACGGGTTCTCTTTATGGAACCTGCCCTCCAACACAGAAAAGATGGTCGCCACGGTTTTAGAGATTACACAGAGCACACTAAGAACGGACGTTCTTCGTCTGCTCTACACTCTCTATGGTTGAGCCGTTCTGCCGTGTTCTCAGGTCCCCCAGAAGAGCAGGGGACCCTGAAAACCGTGGCGAGGGTGGACACCAGCGCCTCTGCTTGTTTGATAGATATCTGATTAGGTCACTTGTACCTAATCAAATGGTAAAAATCACTTAAATGGCAGTTGCACCTTTTAAAAAAAATCAATATTGTATTAAGCCTATCACACTTATTAAATCCATAAAGCTATACTACTTTTACATAATGATTTTTCATGGTTTGTCTAATTCTGTTGCCAAATTCAACCAAAATGCCACTTGCATCATTATAAACTAACCATCTAGGCTCCTATGAAGGATCAAGTATACAGGAAGTGCTCTCCTGTCCTCTAAAAGTCCCAGCATTAAATGCCAGTGTGCAACAAACATAAATAAGTGAAAGAAAATGCAGAGGATAGTCCACCACGATGAATGAGATCTTAAGGTATGCAAATGAGTGCAAAGTTCTAACTTAACTTTCATCTTCACCAAGTGGGAACAGATGGACAAGTGGACCCACAGAGCAGGTCTTAACACGTGCTTACAAGCCCCCCCCATGTGATAGCATATTGGCAGTGACGGGTACTCTTTAAGGTGATGCTGGGGGTCCAAAAGACCCCTAGCGTCACCCTTACACTCCAAATAAGCTATTGAAGTGCAGATCGCACTTCAATAGCTTATTGCTGGGCTTCAGGAGCCCAGCAATGATGGCTATGGGACCGGAAGTGATGCAATACGCGTTGCTCCCAGTCCCATAGTACGGGGAGGAAAACGGTGACCGGACGTTCCTGGGCCCGTAGGAGGGGCAGTGGATCCCAGAAAACAAGGCAGGGGTGTCGGGTGAAGGGGGTTGTCACAGTTACCGGATCGTAGAAGCCGTGGGCTCTACAAAACTGAACAGTCAAACTTAATGACGGGATTATCCCATCATGGGTCGTGAAGGGGTTAAAGACCTTTTATAGCTCATTTTATAGTTATACCGAATTATTCTGCTGCTATATGCCAGTGTACTTGGATCCTAATGTGTTGCATGAGTTTTTAGATATACATGCCAAGTATGTATGCGTGTGGTGTATTTTTTTTTTTTTTTTGCATACTTTTTTACTTCATTACCGTTGGAGAATGTCAACACAATCTTCTGCGCACGATCTATTTAAAGTTGCTGGGTGTTCTAATCACAGCTACTCACTTGGTTGTGTCAAACTTCCATAACCAGTCTGAGCGGCGCTATACACCAAAAAAACAGAGTACAAAGTAAATAACTGACAAGAAAATATAAATAACTTGGCTATTAGTGTAGAATCCTTTGTGAACCAATTATAGAAAAATATTCCTTTGTGAATCTCAAAGCTATAGAAAGCAAAACAAAGTGTCCATCGATGGTAACTTGTATCATATATCAGTTTTCTGCAAAAACAAACAAGTGTCAACTCAATCTTTTACATTGAATTATGCAGTCTGTCCATGTGAAGTTCTGTCTCTTTTTTTTTTTTTTTTTTTTTTTTA